TGAGAGAAAGAAAGAAAGAAAAAGAGAGAGAGAGAGAGAGAAAGAAAGAAAGAAAGAGAGAGAGAGAAAGAGAGAGAGAGAAAGAAAGAAAGAGAGAGAAAGAGAGAGAGAGAGAAAGAAAGAAAGAAAGAGAGAGAGAAAGAGAAAGAAAGAAAGAGAGAGAGAGAGAGAAAGAAAAAGAGAGAGAGAGGGAGGGAGGGAAGGAGGGAGGGGAAGGAAGGAAGGAAGGAAGGAAGGAAGGAAGGAAGAGGAAGGAAGGAAGGAAGAAAGGAAGGAAGGAAGGAAGGAAGGAAGGAAGGAAGGAAGGAAGGAAGGAAGGAAGGAAGGAAAAGAAAGAAAGTCAAAGAGAAGAGAACAATACAGGGAGAAAATAGAAAAGAAGTTTTGTGAGCTGGTTGTGGAGAACACACAGGTTGAAGGATGGATAGAGAAAATATCTGTGAAAATGTGCTACCACTTAGGTGAGTAAGACAGAATACCTGTCTTGAGGAATGGAAGGCAATTAATTAGGCAAGCCCATCTCCCCAAACAGCCTGAAACTCCCTACCACTTATACCAGCCCAGGGCAAAATGGAAAAATTTTTGACCCTTGTTCAAAAATTAAGAATTTCAAGATGGTAACAGCAGAGCATTAAACCAAGTGCGAGATCCTTCTAGGTATGGGACCCTGTCACCAGCCCATGAAGCTTCCCTGCATCTATATTCTAATGCCTCCCACAATGGTATCTCCAGCCCAGATGTGATTCCTGAGCTTGAACTCATTTATCCAGCTGCCTCTTGGACATGATGTGATAAATGTTTTGTTTTTGTTTTTGTTTTTCAGTGAGAGTCTCACTCTGTCGCTCAGACTGGAGTGCAGTGGCCGCTCCCGGCCACCACAGCGTCACCTGCTGGGCTCCGGCGATCCTTCCGCCTCAGCCTTCCGAGTAGCTGGAACTGCAGGCACGCGCTACCACGCCCGGCTAATTTTTTGATTTATTGTAGAGATGAGGACTCGCCAAGTTGCCCATGCGGGTCTCGAACCCGCGGGCTCCGGCAATCCACTCACCTCAGCCACCCAAAGGCACGGGATTACAGGCTGAGCTACCGAGCCCGACTGTGATAAATGTTTAACTACTGGTTCTCTTGGTCGGGGGTAAGGTCTTGATTTATAGTATTTGCCAAGCTCTGTACTTTACTTCAAATATGGCCAGTTTCCAGCTACCAATATGCCATCACTGAAGGCAAGAACCACACAATAGCAGATATTTCCACCATATAGATGCAATAGACATAAGTAACTTCAAGAGTATAGATCGTAGTAAAATGTAGGCATTGATAAGTTTTAAGTATTATCTTTCTTTTCAATATAATTTATTTAATTGAACATCTATACAGTAATTTTTAATAATGATCACATTTAAAATTTCTGAAATTTCAACAACTGACTCAAGTCTGTACAAGGCAACTTCCAGCATACTTCATTCTGCTGGACAGCTTCTCTAGACTATCTTAAAGGCTGCCTGGACTCAAAATGTATACATTATCTCATGTTTTCCTCAATATCTTCTCTTTTTCTGTGCTACCTGTCTCCACAAATGGACCTTTATCTACTCATCTGCACAAAGCTGGACTGTACATTTCTCTTCCTCACAGAATACATTTAACGGTGGCAGAGAAACAATAAAAATAGTCATACATTGGCTGGGCATGGTGCCTCATGACTGTAATCCCTGAACTCTGGGAGGCAGAGGCAACAGGATTGACTGAGCCCAGGGATTTGAGACCAGCCTAGGCAACTTTGCAAGACCTCATCTCTACAATAATTTTTTTAAAAAATAGCCGGGCATAGTGGCATGCACTTGTAGTCTCAACTACTTGGGAGACTGAGGCAGAAGAATAGCCAAAACCCAGGAGGTCAAGGCAGCAGTTAGCCATGATCATGCCACTACACTCCAGCCAGGGTGGCAGGGTGCCAACTTGAGGGAAAAAAAAATGAACGAATTAATGAAAAGTATATTAAGTTTAAAAATTAAGAAAAAACTTTTTTAAAAATTGGAAAATGCTTCTACAGAAGAAAGAATATTTTCATATCAGCAAATTAAAAAGCATGGCCCTTGACAACTAAAGAGATTCTAAAACTGATTGTTTAGCTTTAGCAAAAAATATACAGCCCTGCGAGGTTCAGTGGCTCAGCCTGTAATCCCGTATCCTTGGGAGGCTGAGGTGAGTGGATTGCCTGAGCCCGCGGGTTCGAGACCCACCTGGGCAACTTGGCGAGACCTCATCTTTACAATAAATCAAAAATTAGCCGGGCATGGTAGCGCACACCTGTAGTTCCAGCTACTTGGAAGGCTGAGGCGGAAGGATCGCTGGAGCCCAGCAGGTCGAGGCTGCGGTGGCCGGGAGCGGCCACTGCACTCCAGTCTGGGCGACAGAGTGAGACTCCAACTCAAAAAAAAAAAAAAAAAAAAAAAAAATATATATATATATATATATATATATATGTATGTATATGTATACATATATGTATATGTATATATATATACAGCCCTGTGCAGAGGTGAGCTCCTACATAGGAAACCAAGCTCTCTTACCCAGCATTGAGTTTTCATATCCTTTCCAGGGAAAAGAGACATATATGAAATGTGGAACATAGTCTGCTATTTTTTCCTTTAAAAAGTGTTGTCACATCTTTTCAATTGGTTTTCACATCCCAGACTCAGAAAAAGCAATCACCTTCTGGGACATACACATGGATAATGGAGACTATTTCTGACAGGCCCTGAATTCCTCTTGTCAGGTGACTCAAGTGGTTCTGGTAATGGCTAATTTCTTCCTCATTTCTATGAACTAGATTACTTGTCCCAGTTGACCATGTTAAAAGTACCTAATAAGGGCTGTAAGAGAGAGCATACTCATCCATACGCAACCAAATCATGCAGATTGCTCCATCCTCTTCTCCTCATCCTCACTGCTGCTACCTTGGTTTAGTGATTAGTAGAAATGCTTGTTCTATAAATTGCCATATAACTAAGGAATTAAGAATAACAAAAAGTGGCCAGGCATAGTGGTTATGCCTATAATCCCAGCACTTTGGGAGGCCAAGGTGAGATGATTGCCTGAGCCCATGGGTTCGAGATCAGCCTGAGCAACTTGGTGAGACTTCATCTCTACAACAAAAAATAAAAAAAATAAAAAAACAGCTGGATGTGATGGTGCTTGCCTGTAGTTCCAGCTACTTGGAAGGCTGAGGCAAAAGGATTACTGAGCCCAGCAGGTCAAGGCTACAGTGTCCATGAGTGTGCCACTGCACTC